CCTCCCTCCCCTCTCTCCCCTCTCCCCTCTCTGCCCTCTCTGCCCTCTCTGCCCTCTCCATTGGGAAGAATCAGTTCCTCCTCACTTCTCTTTGCCTGAACATCTCTTTATTCTCTTTGTGGTTGTTCTAGGGATGTACTTAGTGGTGACAACCCATCCTCTCTCCTCCCTAACCCGGGATACAAACAAGTTTTAAAAGAAGTTCTTGTAGGTCAGAGCTGTTAAAATGGTTCCTGCTCCCAGGTGGTTTGTTGGAAGCCACCATCAGGAAAACCAGAACTTGCTTGTGGGTTGGCTCTTTGAACTGTTACTTTTTATGATGATTTTATTGAACCTGAATTCTGTAAGGTTTTGAGGTGGTTCTTGCCTGAATCCATCATTCCCCTCTGGGCCTTGGCAGGCTGAGCAGGAAGCAGCGCTTTGTCCTCATTGCACACATTCCCTCTTGCCCCAGCACGGGCAGGTTTGCTCTGCTGCCAGGTCCTCACAGCTTGTTCTAAAACTTTTGCTTTATTTATTATCTGATGCTGAAGGAGAGGTTTTTGTCATATGTTTACAGAAATACTTTTAGGGCTGTCTTATATCAATTTATTACCTGCATTTCTGCTCAGAAGTCTTTCTAATGGAGTGAATTATCTGCTTCATTTCCTTTTTACTCCTTTGCCATCACTGACATTTATAGGTTGTGTTCTGGCTGCTGCCACTTCACTTCCAGCTTAAGAGCAGCAAAAGCATCACAGACTTGAGGTGCACTTTCTGTGTCAGAAGGGATGTGTGAATAGAGCTGAGAGCCGTGTGAAATATACTGAAAAGCTATTTTTAAAAGTAAGGAATAATTCTTTTTTTCTTTTTCCTGGATTCTGAAAACTCAGCTGATTTGAACATTCCCTGGCACAGAGCTGAGGGCTGCAGGGTGTGCAGGGAATGTGGCTGCACACAGAAGTAGAGCTGTGATGCTTCCCACTGTTGTCTGTGTGTGTGAAGGGTGTGGAGTGAGGTGTGCTCCAGGTCCTGGTCTCTTGTTACAGTAACTCCTAAACCAGCAAGGAACCGGGTAATTCTCAGGCAGAGCATCTAAAGGGAGAGCTGAGCCCTCAGAAACACAGATTTGTTTGTGTTTGTCCTTGTGTCTGTCCAACACACATGGCTGTGTTCACACACACATTCGTGTGTGTGTCTGTGGTGAAGTAAGGTTTGTGTCATCTGAGAAGAAATGCAGAGCAAATCCTGTTCCATTTTCCATGTGTAGTAAAGCAGGTGCTCCCTGCTCTCAGCAGAACAGCTTGGCAGCATTGCTTGGTCCCTGTGAGTCAGCTGGGAGCTCTTGGGTCCATAAGAAAATTTCATAACTCAGTATTCTCTATCTCAGCTTTGAGTGTAGATTTCAAACATCATCGTTCTTTTGTGTGTTTCCTACTCCCACACAGCAGCCACAGGGTCTCACCACCAGACCCTGGAGTGAAAAATGACAGAACCACAGAAAGGTTTTGGTCAGGAGGGACATGAAAGTTCATCTCATTCCATCCCCCTGCCATGGAAGGGACACTTTCCACTGGAAGGATGCAACAGAAAAGTGCAGTGATTGTCTTAATGTGTGTTTGAAGGTGAGGGGTGAACTTCTTGTTTATATTTAAGCAACACAACATTTTCAGGAAGGCCTTTTATTCACAAGTTCCATCTCCATGGCTCCTATTCAGAAGTGGTACAAGGAGCATCTTTTCTAATGTGACAGCTGAATGACTGCTGAGATCCCAGGACAAATTCCTTTACAGCTTGGTTCCTGCAGACGTGATACACTCTAGGACAGCTTACTGATAACAAACTACAAGTTTAGCAAGTAATAATTTAATTTCTTATGAACTTGATGCTTAATCTCCACTAGCAGGGAATGCCATGGTGATGTCAGTGAAGTGGTGCTGAGGGAAGGGAGCTGGAAAGAAAGCAGGTGGTTTGATAATGTTTAGATAAAATTTCATGAAGTGCAATGAGCAAAGAAACCTGTAATTAGCATTTTGCATTGTTTGTGAAGACATTTGAATAGTGGATTTAATCAGGGTTGGTGTTGAGGAAGGGGCTGCTCGTGGGCAGAGGGAGGAACCTCAGGGGTCTCAAGGTTTGTACTCATCCATGAGCAGTGACTTCTGCTGCCTCATCTGTGGAAGGAGAAAGATTAAAGTCTTGTATGGAATGTTTGAACTGTACCTCTCCTGCTGTGACTCACTTGTGCATTTGTATTTTGTCACCTGGGTCATTGCTGACCACTGGGACTTGTTCCAGCCCTGCCTTCTCCTTAGCTTTGGCAAATACCTCGTTACCCATTGCAGGGGAATTGCTGCTCCTGTCATTGTGCCTCTCCTGGCTCTGAGATTCCCAAGCTTTCCCTGCAGTAACCTCCAGCCCCAGCTGGGTCAGGCATGGCCCTGCTCTCCTTCCAGGTCACGTCACCCATCTGCAGGGATCAGAGACCTGGCCAGAACGTACCAAAGGGGATTGTGGATTGTGGATCCACTTCTGTTCTGTCACAAGTTATGGTGTGGGTTTGCTAAATCTTCAGTCATCGAATCCTTCCCCGTCTTCAGCTTCTCAGTGGCTAAATGCAGCTGTTTCCCTGTTCTCCTGTCTGGGTCCAAATCTGTTTGAATGTTGAGTGATTTGAGAAAATGTCCTTAATCTGCACAGCAGGTTTGTGCAGATAAAACAATCGCGCCAGAATCTCACCTGGGCCTGCCAATACCTCGTGGTACCAATAAAGGAATTGATCACTCAGTGACGGAGCAGTTTTGCTCCCTGTATCTAGTTTGACAAGGATCAGGGTGCTGAAGTTTGTATTCTCTTTTTTGCAGCTGCTGCAAGTCCTTTGCATATGTTAGCAACCCACGCGTCCGCATCGGCATCGCTTCCCACCAAGCGCCAGAACGGAGACCAGTCGGAACAGCAGGAACTCAAACGTATCAAAACAGAGGATGGAGAGAGCATAGTCATAGCTGTGAACGTGGACACCCCACCCGTGGCAGTGAGTGACAAAGGCAGCCAGAACTAGAAACTTTAGGGGAGTTTTCTTTTTTTTCTTTTTTTTTTAAAAAAAAAAAACAAAAAACACAAAAAACCAACAAAAACAAACTCCGTGGTGCCAAAAGGAGACACTTAAATCTAACACCTAAAATGTTGGAACATGTTCTCACGCAGTGGGGAAAGGGGCCCTGTGATCAGACTTCAACTTTCAGCACTGAAACAAAACCCAACACAGGTGGCCTTAAAACTTGGTAATTTAAAGTCAAACTGCAGAACCATGTTGTTGTAGAGGCTGTGCCCCCCGCCCCTCCTGCCCCACGGACTGTGTGTGCTGGGAGGGCTGCAGCTTTAACAGGATCTGTCAGATTATTCCCAGGACTGAGGATCTCAGTGTAACGGCAGCATGATAGCGCTTAGTGTGACTGGTTGCAAAGGATTGTATATTCCTAAAGGGAACAGAGGCAGGAGCCATTCCGACACCGTGGCAGCTAAGCCTTTCCGAACCACCCACCCATGCAGTTGTTGATAGATATGCAGTATTTTGTTGTTCACATGTGGAATTAGAAATTTTTGAGGTGTATTTTCATTTCTTTGCAAAACAATGGGGTCTTTGACATTTCAAATCACTCCATTTCTACTCCGGAAACTTTGGAATCACACAACTACTTTTCATGTGAAATTTTGTTTGGTAAAAAACTGAATGTAGGGTTTTTTTAACCAACGGAATGATTTACTTTTGTCTGTCCTGTTCAAGTTCAGATAAAGCTACTTTATTACATCTGCAAATTTTCATATTTTAGCAGTTGCCTGATAAATTTAATCAAATTTTATTACCATGTGTAGTGATCAAACGCTTCTTTGGGCTTGCATGTAACTGATTAGAAACTCTGATGTAAATGAGCCGTTAACTGACGTAAAGAACTGCTATGGATTTGACCAGAGCTGCACTTACCTGTTTCTCTCTCTGCTACCTTTTGCTGTTTGTTACTTTGTGTTGACTTTGACTGTCCCTGGCATATTTTTCCAGTCTAAAGTAAAACAAGAGTCTCGCTTAATATTGTGTATGTTTAAGATAACAGACTGTTCTTCATTTAGAAAGATAAAATTCTTTATCACGAGTCCTTTTAAAAAGAGTAAAATTATCTTGTCAGAGGTATATTCGATATTTTTAAGCTTAAGCACCCTTCAGTAGAAATGAATCTGCCCCGTTTCTCTGTAACACTTTGATGTCAGACACTGACCTCGGGGTCTCCATGACCAGTAGCTGTTGTGGTTTTCTAACAGTGGCTACCAGATTATGGTAATAATTTTTTTTTTTTTTTTTTTTAAGTGTGTGTTCTGCAGTTGAACATTTTAAAATGTATCGGTAATTTCTCACTTTAATGTGGTAATAGATTCCACTTTACATTTCAAAATTCAATTGAAACAAGGCTGCTGTTCAGTCTTCAACTCACACAACGTCTTAGTTCCTCCTGCAGCCAGGTGAGTGGGAGCCAGAGTTGGTTCCATCGGAATCTGGTTTTTGTCCTGTTCTGTAATAAAGATGCATTATTTATACTTCCTTTCCTGCTACGAAAGGAAAAACTGTATTTTCACAATGGACTGAACAGTTTGGAGTGGTTATTTTAGGCAGCTTTTGGAAACTATTTACCTTAAGACCAAATATGAGAAATCTGTACAAGTTTTGTGTTCATCTACACAATGGAACTGTTACAATGTCTCTGCAGATAATACATTAAAAAACTATGAAAAAAAACTCTACACAAGCTGGATTTATAACAGGCATTTAAAAAAAAAAAAAAGCTTAACCTGAAAAGAAGCATTTCTGTACAATTGCAACGTTTTCTTTAGAGGTTTTAAAAATAAAAAAAAAGTAAAGTTTTAACATACTTTTTTTAAGAAAAAAAAATCCAGTACTAGTAATTTAATTTGGTGTTGAATGAATTGACTAGAATGTGGTTTATTTTCAGAAGTGAGAATCTGTTCACAACTAGGGCTAGGTGAATAATAGTGTATAAGATTTTTTTAAATAAAATTAAATTTTATTCAGCAAATTAACTAAGTTGAAATTACTCAACAAGTGTGTTTGGAATATTGATGTATATTTGGGATTAATGCAGCTTCTGGGGCTGGACCCTGCCAGTGCTTTGTAGTGTTTGGGGCACAGGAGGGCACAGGATTGTGTCTGCCTTAGCTGGATCATTATTTCTGTAAGGTTTAGGAGATGTCACTGTCATGAATGTGGTTTTGGTGTCTGATCCCCTTTTCCTGCATTGGTTACAGTCTCTGTTTCTCAGCAGCTGGGGAAATGCTTTCAAGGACCAGGAAAACTTTCCTGGAAGCTGGGTCAGGTTTTCATGGCAACACTTTGAAGAGTTGGGGAGAAATCCAACTCCACAAGGCTTGGATAGAAGTGCTGGGAAGGGCTGTGGTGTTTGGAGCTGAATGGGCAGAGCCTGTTCCTTGAACAGAAAATGTGGTCTGAATGCTCTGAACAAACACAATCCTTGGGGAAAAGAAGAAAATAGCTTACCATGGAAGCAGTGAAGTGGTGTAATTGTCACTGCCCCAGAGCAGGCAGGGCAGTGTGACCCAGCCCCAGCCCCATGGCATTCTGTGTCCAGCCCTTCTGCTCGTGTCTCACATCTCCAGCTGCACTGATTAATCTTGTATTTTCTCCTTCATCGTGACTACCTAAAGGTTCTGAAAGCAATCCTCGTATTCCACGGTTTCTGCTGGCAGGTACCTGGAATTACTGTAGAATTTAGTGCACTGACTCATTAGTTTTCCTGTCAGGATTCTGAACTGTGACACAGGTACTGTGGAGAGAAATGGCAAAATGGGGAGAGGAGGCGTTGAGTTACTTTCTAATACAAAAGAAACTGCTAATCCATCCCTGTACCTAAAGAGCAGATGCTGGTGGGAATACGTTGTGCTCCAGGAACAGTCGTGTTTCACACTTGCTGTGCGAACTCTCTGCTCTCCTGGTGGCTGGGGGTGACCCAGTGGCTGTGTGCTACCACCAGTCCATCAGTGCCAGGTACAGGGCCCACAGTCCTCAAAGCATCATTCCTTTTCCCAAAAAGTGACTGACTGAACACCATTCCATTTGATTGTAGAGCTGTGCAAACGCTGGGTAAGTTCATCCACGGGAGGCAGTGCCGCAGTGAGCCACAGTGAAGCACTGGCAGAGCAAGCTGGAGCCAGCTGGGAGGATTCAGTCCCATGCTGGATTTGATCACTGGGAACAGCTGTACCTAAATCACATCCATTTGCAGGTAGCACAAGAAATCTGAGGTGTATAGGGCATTTCCAGGGTCAGTACAGCACTACTGCCTGCACAGGTGTGGTATTGTCATTCCTGCTGCCACCCTGGAGCAGAGGTTTAGTAGAAGAGTTTTAAATCTTCCCCAGAAATGTGTTTGTAGTCTCTTGTCAGCTCTAGGATAACTGGGACAGGAGGGCAGGGGGCTGGAACAGCAGCAGCTGAGGCTCAGCAGAGCTGTTGGAGCAGGTGCAGGGGCTGGATGGGGGAGTTCAGCAGTCCCTGGTACTGGGATCAGGACCTCCCACTGCACAGTGAGAGGGATTCCCATCACCCTTGGGGAGCCACCTCCAGCACATCCTTCTCCAGGAGATGACAGTCCCAGTCCTGCTGGTCCAGCTCTTCCAGGCTGAGGAGCCTCAGCCCAGCAGAGGGGGAATGGTGAGGTAAGTGCTGAACAAGAACTGGTTTTCCCTGGGAAGTTGGACTTGTTTTGGGACAGACAACAAGGTGCGTGTCCCAGGCAGTGGCTCACATGCTCCTGTCCCCTCTTGACACAGCGAGTTCAGCTCCTGTCCTTCACCAGCCACCACTATTGACTCACATGTTTATTCCCCCAGCCTGGAGCAATGGAAACCATGGCTGTGACCATCAGTGAATACAGCAAAGTTAGTCACTTTTATTTAAAAGAAATAACATATTACAAATAAGTGTGCAAAACAATTCCTGTGGTTAAATACGCATAAAAGCAACATGCAACCTTGACATCAACATGATAAGTTAGTCCTTAGTAGGTTACATGACACTAAAAGGGACTTGTCAACGTTAGAGAGTTTGCAGCTGAAGTCACAGAGTGTCAGGGCTGAAGCATCTGTGAAATTAGCTTTCAGTAGAGCAAGACCTCCCTGCCCCAGTGTTTAGTGCCACAGATGCCAAACTTGGGGCTATCTCAGGTTCTGGGTTAGGAGCTTGTGCCTTAGGTCAGCAGTAACAGGATAACAATTTTTGGGGAAGAGTGTACAAGTCAGTGGGTTCAGTCTAACCTACCTGTCCCTGGGCCAGCAGCAATAGTATGCGACAGCTCAAAGGAAAAAAAAAAAAAAAAGACAAGTTTGCAAGTTTAAAGCCATTGCAGACATGGAACTTCCTGCCACCTTGTTCAGTTCTTGTGCTGGACATGGACATGGCCTCTCCAGCCTCTCACTTGCAGCAGTTTGGCAGTAGTTTGGCAGCAGTTTCACAGCTGTCACACCAGTACCGGCTGTTGGATTACAGAAGGAATCAGCTCTACAACAACAGGAGCCCTGGGTGCTTGTTGTGCTCACACAGGAGAGAGCAGTTGGGTCAGCACTTGCCCAAAGGTGCCTCCAGCTGCTTCACGGAGTTTGGCACCTTGGACAAGTGATGCTGATCCCTCACCTGAAGCAGCACTGGCAGGGCCACACCACCACCACCACCCAGCCCTGGGCACCAGTTCAGAGGACAAGCAGGACTTGATCTACAGCTGTCCCTTGCTCTGTACTTGTCACCTTCTCTGTTCCCTCAGCTGTGCCAGGGGAAGGGGGAAGCAGGACTCCTGCTGGAGAAAGCAGGATCTGAAGTGTTCCCCTGCTCTCAGCCATGCAGTGGAAGAAAGCAATGCCTAAAATCTTCTGGTTTCACATCCCTTTTCCTAAGGCCAGCTGAAGGTGTGGACAGCCCCCGCAGAGCTCTACCTGTGGCAGGCACTCTTGTTGGAGCTACAGTCATGTCACAGTTTAGACTAAAGAGAAACCCAATAGGCACAAGCTTGTTGAAAGCCACATCTTAAAAACTTGAGTTGGTGACAGTAACCCAAAGAGATTTTAATGATGAATACTTGCAGAAATGAGAACAAACATATGTAGTCCACTACTTCAGAGCTGCTTGTGATCATGTTGAGCCAGGCTTCTCCATGAGCTCTCCTGAACTTCTGGATCAGTACTGGACACTCAGATCCTGTCCCTCAAAGGCGTGGGGTGGTTGAGGCGGTGCTTTGAGCCGTGCACTCCCCTCCCCTCAGTCAAAGCTTGTCGTCCGTCATTTCTAGGAACTGAGCGTACACATCCCTTGAGCATTCCCCTTTTTGGTTGAATAAGAACTTGTAGTAGCTGCCATCTGCACATATTGCTGCAACACAAACAAGCAGGGTCAGGGGGGCTGTGCCAGAGGTGCCTTCCTTTTCTCCAGCTCCAGGGTAAGCTGCTCTTCAGACACACAGAGGTGCTCTGGGGGGACCCCTGGGCTGCCAGCCCTGCCAGCCCTGCGCTGTGCCAGCCCTGTGCTGTGCCAGCCCTGTGCTGTGCCAGCCTCCCTCCCTGGGTAGTGAGAGCAGCCAGAGCTCTTGGATGACAGGGACACTCAGCCCTGTCTCAGTAGAGCATTTCCTTTCTCCCAAGCCAGCACAGTTCAAGCCTGGTTCTGCAGCCAGAACCTGAAGCCACCTCCATCACTCACCTATGACAGCATTTGGCTCTGTTCCAAAGGCACAAATGCACGGAGAGCCTGAGGGAACCTGGAATTTGGAAAAACTCCATTTGGAACTGAAGTATTTGGGGAGAAAGGTGGCAGAGGCCAAACTGAAAGAAAAAAACACAAAAAGGCATTTAACAGGTTGGTATGGCATTGACTAGGGTGGGTTCAGAGCTGCTGGAGTGATTGAACAAGGTGCAGGGTTCACATGATTTTTTACTGGCTTTTTATTATCTCATCTGATACTTTAAGTCAGTATCAGATAACCTGAGTAATTCCCATTCTCAGGAATGGAGACACTATAACTACCTTGCTGGCTTTGAGTGGCTGCAAAAACTAACAGAAGGATTGATTTTTAGTAGAGGAAAGTGTCCACAATGTATGTTCATCCTAAGGTCCATTAAAACCTACACTGACCCTCTACTGAAATGCTACAGCCCCACAAAGGACAGCAGGAACTGGGCAATTTCCAGAGAGTCTGAAATCTGCAGCTTCACGCCAGCCCAGCAGATAGACTTTTCCACTTTCAGCAGTGTAGAGATTTTGCTACTGAGTGACATGGTCAGAGTTTTAAATGCAATTCAAAGCTCAAGGACCCCTCCAGGGCTTCAGAACAGCTTCATCCCTACCTTGACTGCTTATTTCTTTTTGGGTCTTCTGCAGCAAAAATGTGGACTGTGCCGTGGTCACTGGAGACGCAGATGAGGGAAGCATCCTGGTTGAAGTTAATACTGCAGAGAACACAGACAGCTGCAGGATTTCTCCTGGGACAGACCCACAGGCCTGGCACAGACAGTTCTGCTGCTGCAGGTGTGCCAGCCCAGCAGGCAGGGTGGTAACAGCTGCTCAGGAGGAGCTGGGGCTGCCCCAAGCCAGGGCTGCTTTGGGATGAACAGGCAGCACTCAGAACAGAGCCTGCAGTGGCAGCAGCTGCAGCTCTGACAGGGACACCACTGCTGTGGGTCACTCTGACCCTGCTGGAAGGAAATGCAGAGCTCTGCTCTGAGGAGTGGGCAGAACGTGCAATTGCTACCCCACAGTGGGGCTCAGCACAGGAACAGGAGTGTTCTTGGGGAGCGGGCAGAGGGTTTCCCTGCTCCTGGGACAGTCACACCTCTGCCCTGGGTGCTCCTCTGCACAGCAGGATGTGGGGATAAAGCTCCCCTTGCCCCCAGGCTCGCCCCAGCCCCCCTGAGCAGTGTTCAAGTGCATCAGGGCACTCCCAGGGTGTCAGTGGGAAATTCCCACATGGTCTGAGCAGTCAGGGCCTGGCAACAGCCACAGCTCTGTCCCTGGTCCTGTAGCCTGTGCCAGGCTTCACAGAGCTCCCAGCTCCTGCCTTCCCCCACCCAGCAGCGAGCCCAGAGGGAGATGCAGAGGCCCAGGGCAGCTGGGGTACCACAGCCACCCTGTGCTGGCTGAGGGGCTCAGCACAGCCAGGCCCACAGGCAGCAGCTGAACGTACCAGTATATATTGGCTGCTTGCGATCCTCGACGCAGCTCCTGGATTAAATGCCCTGATGAAGTATCAAATATTCTTATGAGGGTCCCCTTGGAAAGGAATCAAGCATTGTATTAGGAAAGGCAGAAGATTGTCTTTACATCTGTGAATGCATCCTAAAATTTTGTTTGACCAGCATACCTCTGCACACACTGCTGGGGTTTTTTTGGTAGATTTACAAACCTCTCTTAATTTTGAGGAAGAACACTGGTTTCCCCACACAGCATCACCACAATGTTATATGCCTTGGGGTACAATCTTGCCACTCAGTGACTCAGGAAGTCTCTTTTAGTCCAGTTCTAAGCTCTGGCCCCGATTTGCAGACACTGGCCGATGCAGAGTGTGCCCAGGATCTGTGAGTCACTCCTGCCATGCTCCCCTCAGTACTATTGCCCTTTTCATTGCTACTGTGCAAGTCTTTCCACTAAGTATAATCATGCTGCGGCTGGTCTTGTCTTAAAATTGGCTCAGTCAACGTAACCTAGAAGAATCAGTTACCACACACTCATGATCTGTATTGATACAAATCTGAGCACTGCCCAGCCAGGTGATAGAACACTGCACTGGGAAACTGTCCTTCAGCTGGAGGAAACCCAGCCTGGCAGCAGAGCTGCAGAATGAGCCAGTTCTCAAAGTGATGAGCAAACCAGTGGTGCTTTCCTCTGATGAAGACTGGGTGTACATTGGGCTGTGCATCACCACCTGCAGCTCCTGTTACACACCTGGTTAACAGAGGCAGCTCTCCAGTCACACACCAGGAAGTAACAACCCAGCAGAGAAAGACTTGGTAAACTCAGTTTAGTTTTGATTTAAGAGACAGGCTTGAGTTGTTTGCTAACTGTGCTCAGACTCCTAGTTCAGTTGCAAAATAAAAGCTGCTTGAACTTCTTCTCTATGCAAAACAAGGAATGTTTAATACAAATGCAGCAGATAATGGCTCTATTTAGCAATGCAGTTGGCAGCTTTTAGAACTCTGCTTAGAAGACATGCAGTCAATTAAGCTTAAGAGAGACTCAGGATACATTTTCTTTTTTTAAACTGTCTGAGTGACAGGCTGGGCAGTACAAACTAGGTGAAACAGAGACAGAATTCATTTGGCTCGTCCTTAAAAAACTTCAGCTGAGTGGTAGAAGGCAGCAAAAGCTGTGCTTGCCTCAGGGAGACGGGTCCATCTGCCTGACACTCCCTGGGGAGACGAATGCCCTGGCAGCTCTCTCTGGTTCCCAGGGAGAAGGCAGCTCTGTCACATTTGCCTCTCTCTGCCTCAGCCCAGCACAAGGGATCTGCACTGCACCCTAACTTCATGTTCTTGTCATGGTCTTGTCTCTTCAGCCCCGTGTAACACGTGGCCACACGCTCCCTTTCTGTGTGAGGGGGGCACCTGTCCTGCTCTCTAACAGGGGCTAAGCCAGAGCAGAACAGAGCCTACCAGTACAACTGAATTATTTGCAAGTATTTCTTTAGCCAGTGGATTTGGAGTGAATTTAAGCAGAAAATAATAAAGGTGAAAGAATACAAATAAGGTTCCCCCCCCACCATGTTTTTTTTAAATTAACGGTATCTGTTGAAAAAGACATCAAAGACATGAACTACTTGGGCCAAGTTGTGTTCAAGTGTCACTGAAGAATCACTGCTATAGCCAGCTAAAACAAATACTACCTCAGGCACAGCCTTTGGCTGTCGGCTGTTTGGGCATCCCAGAGGAGCAGGGAAGATAAAGAAACACTGAGAGCGCGCAGTTCAGTGGCAGATTTTCCCTGTTTCCTCCAAAGGATGTGACTTGCTGTTTTATCTCACTACACTAGAACACACAGTAAGTCAGAGGCAGGGGACATCATTCTTACTTTTTCTGATGCTGTTGCAATTCTTGTTCCCTGCAGGTTTAAAGCGATACAGCTCAAGACTCCTTCGTGAGCTGGGATGTCCACAGGAGGCTTCTCTGTGTTAGCCAGGTCCACAATCTGCACGTGCCCAGTGTGTGTTCCAGGAAATGCAAGAAGAGAATTATTACTATTTGGACAAAGGACACAGAGACCTGAAAGACAAAAAAAAATAAAAAAATAAAAAAAAGGAATAATTGGATCATTTCCATAACCTAATTAAATTTTCAAATATAAGTTTCTAAAATATTGATAATTTCAGAATAAGGAAACAGTCATGGAGTAAATCACAATCCCATTTTAATGGCTAGTGCCATTACATTAATTGCTAGTCCCAAAACATCATCTGTACATGAGTGCAGAGCACAGTTAAGCAGAGGAGTAGTGTAATTTTAATTTGCTCTCATCACTTTATTTCAATGCAATCCAGCAGTGGTTATCCAAAATCTGGGTGGTTTTTCAGATCAGCCCAGTCAGTCCATAAACATCAAAGCCATTTTAAGAAGTTGTTAAAACGTCTCCTTAGCAGCTCAGAAAGGGTAAGAGTTTATCAGAGACATCTGAGCTTCTGCTCCATCAGTGAAACTATTATTAATTTATGTTTGAACTTGGTTCTTACAGCACTGGCACTTTTTTCTTTATAATGTTTTGTGGCCCATTGAGGTGAATCACACCAATCCCAGGTGTTCTGCTGATGCCAAAGTGAATTCCTGAAACCTCAGCACAAGAAAAAAGCTCCTCCTCCTGCATCCCCTGCCTGTAAGTCAGCCAGGCTGCTGGAGCTGTATCCAGGCTGGGATTCCATGACAGCAATTCCATGTTTGCTCCAGGCAGGCATGAAAACCCTCAGAGATGAGGATGCCAATCCTGTATAATCTGGTGGAGAAAACACCCTCCTGACACAGAAGCTGATCCTCTCCACCAATCAAGCTCTGCCTGCACCCGTTGTTCCACATGCAGCTCTGTCAAGAAGTGTTTGCTCCACCCTTCCTGACACCTCTCCAAGCCACTGCCAGCCCTGCAGAGCCCTTCCCCAGCTCCTTCTGCCATCACTGAATGAGCCTGAGCCCCTCCCCTTGGTTCAACAGCAGCCACAGCTAGTTAAAAAGAACACTGTCAGTTTGCTCATTAGGCCCTTTTTAACAGGAGAGAAGAGTTTACTCAACACCTCCAGCTCTATTAGGAAAGAGAAATGATGCACTTTACTGTAGTTCGTGTTTATAATTAACCTTCCAGTAAAAACACAGGTTCTTTACAGAAGAAAGTGTACAGCTCTTATAGAAATCACATCTATAACATGGGCACAGGAAACAGCTTTTCTGGGCCAAGTATTTATAAATTCTAATAACCATTCTGCAAACACAGAAGCATCTCCAAAGGACACGACTGCAGTGCAGTAAATGTTTAATGACTTCTAAAGAACTGACAGAGGCAGCTGAAGATAAATGGCATGTCAAGAACACACTAAACTTGCTTCCATTCCCCAGCCCACACGTACAACTAACCTTTAGGGTTGTAGCAGGTTTCAAAGACGTGCAGCTGGTGGGGATTGTGTGTGAATGTGAAAACTTTAATCATGGAGTCCAAGACAACCACAATTCTGAAACAGAGCAGAAGTTCCTGTGACTCGGGGAGGGTAAAACAGGGATGCAAACATTCACTCAGACCTGCAAAGCCTTTCAGCTGATTTAACAGACATGTTCTTCCTGCCCTCCCTAGCAAGAGACTCCCAGCCTTGCAGCAGCCTCACAATAATAAACCTGCTAAGCACTTTTATCCAGCCCCTCCACCCACGCATACACAGACTCCAGCTGTTCACAGCTGCTCTTGCTCCAGGAATCTGCTGGAATTTTCTTCACACTCCTCCATACCTAGAAAACCAGCAGGAGCCACAGGAGATTATTTCCCTATATTAGGGGAAATAAAGACCAGGAAGTCTTGCAGGCTTTTCACCAAGGTTTCACATAGCAGTAAACTTAAACTGTGGCCTGTTTACACCTAATACTCTGGCTCCAAAGCCTGTTTCACCTGCAATTGCTGGTGTTACAACTGGATCTTTTAACAAGCAGCTGGAAATGAGGAGGAGCACAAAGCCAAGCTGGGTTTCTGGACCCCTCTGCTGTACCTACCTGTCTCTTCGAAGCTTCACTGCTTTGACTTCTGTGGAAAACTCTATCTCAATGACAGTCTTCTTCTTCAGGTCATCCCAGATCATGACTAGAACAGTGTAGAGATTGCATGAGACCATCAAGGGATATTCAAAAACATATTCAACACCATTCAACATATTCCACAGCGCCCTTATAACAACTTACAGCTCCCCAGCAGTCTCATCAAAAGGTTCATCCAATGGTTAAGCAGCTCAGACAGGCATCCTGCTAACCAGAAGGCATTGAGCCACGAGGTATCAACTACATATCAACCCCCTAATTCACACTATAACTTGTGCAGGCAGGAGCTGGTCAACTGCAACCAGAAAAACTGACAAAAAACTGAAGATATATTTCTCTAAAAAAAAGCAGGTTTTTTGTTTGCTCCGAGGGTTATGAAAGAACTAATGCAGCAGTTGAATAGAGTAGTACATTTTCCTACAAAGCTTGCCAGGCAGGGGAGCTTCCTGCTCCTTGCAGAGTTCACCATGAGAAGGTCAGCAGGCCTGGAGAGCAGTCCCTGCAGGTAGCAGCCTGTTAGCACTGCACCAGCAGTGCTGCAACTCACTGCACCACAGTGACTTAAACCTGCTGCAGCATCCCCTTCTCCCGACCTTCAGGACATCAGCTCATGGCCCTGGGAGTGGGAGTTCTCTGGGCAGTGTCACACAGGGGCAAGGCAGGCCTTTGCAAGGCTCGCCCCTCAAGCTCACCTTTGTTGGGTGGGTACTTCGGTTTTTTTCCTCCACCTACAAGTGCTAAATAGTTGCAACGAAACAACATTTCGACATGGCCGACACCACCTTCTAGAAACTCTGCAAGACAAATATTTTATTTCAAAGTGTCAGAACCAGTTAAATTGCCATCTCATTTTCACCACTGTTATAAGAAAAGCTCGTGTTATCTCAGGCACCCGAGAAGAAGAACATCTTCCTATCCTGGCTGCCTTTAAAAAACAGTGGATTCCTTGAAAGTTCTTCATACAGGAGCAGTAAAGCCCTGGATTTCATACAAGCCCCTGGGGTTTCTTCAACAATAGTTTTGAGTGCTGTGTTTCCTTCCTGGATAGTTGTGCTTGAACACTGCTCCCTTCTGCACCAGATCCTCCTCTTGACTCCATTAAAGCAATTAAAGCAGGACAGCACATTCTGCTATGAAGAGGTGTAAATGTGTTCTGAATCTGTGTTAGAGCACTGAATCACTGCTTGGATGGGAATTTCTTGGAACTCTTGGATGTAAGACAGAGAAGCTGGGGTTGCAACAAGATTTGGTTTCATACTGGGTTACAGAGAAAATCAAATGGACAAGCTCCAGCTGGGAGTGTCTTGGGCAGGTTTAAACCTACACAAACAGTGAACAGGATCTCTGTGTACTTATGCAGGCAGTTCAGTGATCGCTCTCAGAATCCACAGGGAAGAGACAACCTGACTCATAAACTTTTCACCACAGGAGTCCTGGAAGACACAGTCCTGCCATCCAGAGCTACTGGCAGGGAGAGTTTTGACAAGGAACTCCAAAGGACTTCAGGCTGAATCCTGACTCTGTGAGCACACTGCCACAAGTGACAGTCCCAAGGCATGCTGCTTATGGAAGAATTTACTGTTAAGAGCAGAAAACAGTTTGTCAGCTTTGGCCATGTGAACAGTGACTAAAATCCTTACAGCGGTAGCAAGTGAAAGTGTGCCTGATTTAGTAGGAATTGCTAGTTTATGTACATTTTTTCTCTTATTAAACTCCTTTTCTCACCACAGGCTGAAAGTGCTGGGAAACCTGTGTAGCAGCTCACTTCCTATATTTAGGGTTAGAATGACATGGCTCAGTTTCAGTTTCCCATATTTTGACTCAGTTTTGTTTGTTCTCTGATAAAAAGCTCCTCTGTTAACACAGCTCATCTACTGACTTCTGTTAAGACACAGGAGTAGCTTTACCACATTAAGATCCTCCCAAATTTTAAAAGCATACATAGAAGGTAAGATTTAGAGCATTAGAGTTCTGAGCTCTCAGTGCTCTTGCAGACAATACCCTTGAGTATGAGAAATGTAACACTGAGATCTCTGGGAAAAAGCCTGGAGCCTCACTGCCACACAGGATCATCCAGATCAGCACACAAGAACAGAACTTCTGATGGCTGCAGGGAGCAACTCCTGCTCACAAATACCCAGGAAACACCTCTCCTACTCAGGCTACAAACTTTAGCAACAGCCAACACAACTCTGCCAGCAGCTGAGACAAATTCCTCATCAGCCAATTGTGCAAATTGACAGCATGGAGACTTTTGACCAGGCAATGGCATGAGAGAGAGTTCCTGTGGGATCAGTGAGAGCTGCCTTTCCTGAGGCTTTATTCAAAGCCTTCCAGGGATGGAAAAGTGAAAGCAGAGCAAGACTCAGTCAGGAAAAATGAGATGGCTGACCTTCCAACACAGAGCAGCATGGTGTAGTAAGTAAGTGTTTTACCTTGTTTCTCTTTTTCTTTGAGTGGATCTGCATTATAAACTCGGAATCCATTTTCCATTCCACATGCAAAGCATCCTGTGGTAAAAAGCACATATATATACACACATATAGTAATTACCAGATACACTCAAGAAGGAAGCAAGAGCTGGAGGGTTAGGAAAGCATTACTCAACGACTGCATGGTTACAGTCAAGCTGAAGAGCATTCACAGGCTCTGTTAGAGATGGCAAGAGAAAATCTCCCAGAGAAGTTGTTCTCTACACTGGCCTCATGGAAATATCTTGGCATTGGTTTTAGGCAGGTAAGAAAACAACAGAAGGAAAGGAAACCAATTCCCAACCCACATGGATCCTATGCCATGCACTAGAGTGCAGGAAAACAGCATTTTAATGTTTATGGTCCAACCAGTTATGAAGTGAGCTCCTTTCTTCATAGATCCAAATTCACCTCATGATTATGACCCTGCTGTGGATGTTTCTGGAGCACAGTGCTCATCAAACAGCTTTTTCACATGTGCTAACGAGAGCTGACTGCTGTACAATGCCAATAATTATATGCCAGTGGTTGAAGTCTAACCCAGGACATAAGCACAAGACCGATTAAAACTCTCTGGAAAATAATTGTAGTTACTTTTTCATACAAAAGTATGCACGAGTTTCTTTAGTGGAATCCATTAAACTGCCTGTCCCTTGTCCTGCTCCTTGCCCTGCTAACAGGTGAACACATGCACTGGTACAAAGAAATGCCACTGAAGTGAAGTCAGAGCAATGACAAGTCCCCAAGAAGCTGCTGTCACTGGCAGCACCTGATGGCAGTTGGTTGCTCACAATTTGTGTGTACTGTACCAAAAATCCTGTTAAAGATATCTTAGGTACTAGAACGTAAGTTCCACTCACTCTGGTTCTATTCTTATGTACTGCAATGATTTGAACCCCTCAAATAAAAGCACAGGAGCTCTGTCTAAACACAACTCTTCCCCAAACTTGGTACTCCAACAATCACAGTGTGTGGGGGAAGAAAACGAAACACAAAAACCTACACCCTTAACCTGAAAGCCTCCCAGGTACAACTTCACCCTGTCTGAGATACTGCAACAAATTAAGTGCACAAAGTTCTTGTTTACATACATAAACACACAAAGTGGCTAATGTGAATTTTAAAGCAGGATCAGCAACCATATTGCAACAGGCTTTGATATGAAGCCTGTTCATTTCTCTCCTCCTCTCTCAGTGTTGGCTGGCTCTGGCAGGGTCCGTAAGTGTGAGCTGCTGTGACCTCCCAGCACTGGGACAGCATTGCTGGGACAGCCAGGGAGCAAACTGCAATGGAAACCTTCCCCTCCACATAAAGCACTGCTGGACAGGGTGAGAACTGATCTGTTCCTCACAGCTGAGACATACAATTATTTTACAGCAACAGTTTTCTAATCCTATATTGTATTTCCAGGAAAATCAAAGGGAAGGGATACTGAAGCTGTTCTGTAGTAAGAAAGTGCTGTCAGGTTTGAGCTGTGCTGATCCCAGCAGCTCCTAACAATCCAAATGGAGCATTCCTGATGCAATCAAACACACACTTTACACTTCCTGCAGTGCCACTACAGCTTTTTGCAGGACCAACCCCATGAGTAAGACGTGGGCTGCTTTAATGCCTTGGGAATATCCACATTTTTAACTGAAGACAACACACCAGAACGTGGGGATGTGAGTAATGATGAAATTCCTCATGTGGTCGAACACTACCCACAGAGATATGAAGCTCTCAGGCACAGCAACCCCTGAGTCAAACAAGGGAAAAATACCTACAGGAAGATTCCTGTTCCTCCTTCAATTCCAGGTTACAGGAGCAGCTTTGAAGCTTGGTGATTCCCATCTGATTTCTGTTACCAGTGGAATTACAGATTTGATGGCTACAGCTTGTAAGCCCCACCATTTGAGAGCTGGAAGGGGCTGACAGAGGAAGGAACACTTCCTTAGGTTCACTTCCTTCCACAAGAATTGCAACTCTCTTTTCAAGAAGGGAAAGATGACCTGAAAAGCCACTGACAAAAGATAAATATGTTTTTTTTAAAAAATATAATTATTACACAGTTATTGCCCTGACCCACAGTTATGCTTGTTCCTACAGTAAAAGTGGTTTTTTTCCACCAGTGCCAGTGAGGCCAGAGTGAGTTTTGTTCCTCCAAATCTGCAGAAAAAGGGTTAAATTAATGACCAGCCTAGAAGATGCCACAGGCTGAAGGGGGTACATTGGCACAGAGAAACCTGCAGGCTCTAAGGCCTGTGGTCCTGCAGTGACAGTAGTGCAGTCCAGGGAAGTGACAATGTCCAGCATAGTTTCCTTGGCACCATAAATGCTGGGTAAAGCCAAGAGCACAGGACCCTGTGGACATTGTGGGGTCCTACAAAGCATTCCAGCCCACTGGAGAAGAGTAAATATATTAAGTCAAGTGTTTCCACACCAAAACAAACCCACACTTCAGTTTTCAAACCAGCTTTAGGCTGTAACAGTGACAAAAGAGAAACTTGTCAGCAATTTACAGGTATGACCATTCACTATGATGTTTTGTCTCTTCATTTCTGAAAAGCACTTTAGTGTCTTTCCCAAAGCATTAGGAAAGGATCTGAAATCAGGAGCTCATAGCCTCAAAATTAAGAAGATAGAATATTCTGATTTCAAACAACTGACAACTTCCATTTCTTTGTGTTACATTGTTTCTTTGTTTTTTAATTTAAAGCCTAGAAGTAGCAAAAGCACCTGATATAAAACCAGCATCACTCAAGTCAGAGAGAGGGAGGCCCATGGCAGAACAACCAAGGCTGCTTTATCACTTCCCAGTCAAGAAGATTCAGCCCCAGAGAGAGTTCCATGATTCCTCCTGTTCTCCCATCCTTGTGGGATCGACCAATCTTAAATTACTAAGAAATTAGGTTATTGTAACAGTACATGCAGACACCCACACTTGTGAGCTTCAGCACTCCAGTGACTCACATTCTATTCCCAGCAGAAGGAAGAAGGAAGCAGGGAGCTTTCCCTCCTCTCTGCTCTCCTTCGGGTGGCCAATGTCACCTGCCCTTCAGCACTTTACAAGAGCCCTAAACTCGTAAAAGGTCACTGTGTTACCTACAGTGCAGTGTCATCATTCCTAACAGGAACAGCTCCAGGAACTGCCAAACAGAAGCCAATTGTGTTTTTTCTTCATGTTTTTTGTCACTCAACTGCCTGGCCAGGTGAGGTCAGATGGGACATGAATACTGCCAGATTCCCAAGACAAATTCCTTAAGGTGCTTTGGATGTGATATTATTCAGATAAGGGGTTTATCTTGCACTTACTGCTACAGAACTTTCCAATAAACAAGTTTTACACTAAAATGATGATCTAAAGGCATTTTTCACTAAAAGAGAAACTCTTCTTCTTACACAGCTCTACAAGCCAAATCTCTGAGTCAATATCACTCAATATCACTGCTCCATTACAGACCTTGCAGATCTGAAATTAAGCTCATCCTCAGAATTTTTTTTCCATTTCTGTTGCAGAAGCAAGATGAAAATAAGTACAGAGCTGCAGAGAAACAAACTATTCTATTCTTTTTAAGTCTATGAGATAGCAGGAAGAGAGCTGCCAAGATGCTCACACCTCATTACCTGCTTCATGTGCTATTGCCAAGATGCCATCAAAGGCATTTGACTAAAATCAACAGAATAATTCGTGTTTACACACAATTTCAACAGCGTCAGCAACAGGTACATGAGCTGCTGTCTACAACAACAGAGGCTGCAAGAGTGCCTTAAGCAAGAATATTATTTGTTAAGGCAAAAGGATGTTACAAAATGATGAGTTTCTACTCCTTATTCCAGAAAAATGACACTTACTCATGAGACTGGTGCTATTTTTGTCTTGCCAAAGCAGGATGAGGCATATGCACCCCATTTCTGGAGCAGGCCTTCCCCTCTAACAAAGGGAAAAGAAAAGCCAAGGATGCACAAGGGGCTGTTGTATCAGTGATTGACTGCCAGTGTGATTAGTAGTGTGAGCCACAATTTTTACAATACAAACCAGGTAAAAAGAAAGAAAAAAAGCAGTTACACCACTCATTTTGAATGTGGAGTACTTACGCTGAGAAAGAGCTGAACTGTGGGCAGTTCCCAGAAAAGCCCCTGAAGCACAGGTTTTGAGGAGGCTTTGAGGAGCCTGACGGAGCCACACAGGTGGCTTTGAGCAGCCAAGTGCAGCAAGCCCCAGCAAGCCTGGCCCTGCTCCTTCTCCTCTCC